ACTTTCATTGTTTCATGCATGAGCTTTTAGGGGACACCTCACATCTAAACCATAAACATAACTGAACCTAAAACATGGAATATATAAAAACACATACATTTCTAATGAAATCAAAAAGTGTCCCCTATCGTCCAAGAAACAATGGATCACAATTAGGGCATCAATTCCTTATTCTGAGAACATCAATTAGAGGGAAAGATAAATATATTGCCTTATTGGTTCAAATTATATAGCAGGTAGTTAAATAGTCCCAAGTTAATTACGAAAGTGCTGCAAAAAAGAATTACAGCTAGTACATATGTAACATGGGAGACAATTGCCTCGCACACATGAGATTCAATCCTCAGCGCCACATAAATAAATAAATAAAGATTTTAAAAAACCCACTATTTTATCACTTCTAATTAATGATTCAGGTTATAATCATAAGAACATTACATAAAGAGTTGATGGGTTTCTTTAAAATGAAGGAAACAGCTATTGTATCTCTTGATACAATGTGATATGAGTACACAGAACAGCCTATGAAGTAATCTTGTTGCCCAAATCTAATCGGGCTTTAATTTCCAGTGAATAAGAAATACAGAAGATAGAGGAATAACTATACCAGGAAGAAACAGACAAATCCAGAATATAGGATATTCTATATGAAAACAAACTCATTTTCTTCAATAAATCAATGACATGGAGGAAAGGAAAATTAAATGCAGAATATTAATATACTATAATGTATATACCTTGTTTAGATTCTGATTTAAATAAACCAACTGTAAAAATGTTTTTGAGTTACCTGGAAAAATTTCAATATGGGCTTGGTGTTGGAGGATACCAAAGAATTAGTTATTGTTTATTTTGTTAGATGTGATGATAATGGCATTATAGCCATAGACAAATTTTCATGTTCTTTAGTTTTGCATGCCTAGGTATGTAAGGGTGAAATAGCCTAATGTCTGGGATTTTCTTTAAAACACTTCATAGCTGAGCTGGGGTTGTGGCTCAGCAGTAGAGCGCTCGCCTAGCACATGTAAGGCACTAGGTTCGATTCTCAGCACCACATAAAATAAATAAATAAAATAAAGGTATTGTGTCCAACTACAACTAATATATATATATGTATATATGTATGTGTGTGTGTGTGTGTGTGTGTGTGTGTGTGTATATATATCACACTTCATAGCTGGTGTGGTGGTGCATGCCTATAATCGGGAGGCTGAAACAGGAGGATGGTGAGTTCAAAGCCAGTCTCAGCAATGGTGAGGCACTAAGCAATTCAGTGAGACCCTGTCTCTAAATAAAATATAAAACAGGGCTGGGGATGTGGCTCAGTGGTTGAGTGCTCCTGAGTTCAATTCCTGGTACCACCCCCCACCAAAAAAAACCCAACATACTTCATGTACACATAAGATGTTAAGTGGGGATAGTTGAAGCAAGTAAAGTAAATTAGTGGGATATTACTGGGATTAGGTAGTATAGGCATATGGGAGTTCATGGTACTGTTCTTTATACTTTTGTGTGGTTATGAAATTATAATAAAAAAATTTTGAAGACATAGATATATAGAGAAATATCTATAAGAAGACAAAAACACCTGAACACATGTTGAAGAAAGTAATTTCCATGTCATTTAAAAATAAATGTGAAATAGTTTTAAGTAGAATTGTCAATGTTTTTATCTACCCATACTATTTTTTTGTTTTTTTTTAATGCATAACTACATATTTATTGCTAATTTCTACATTGTTAAAAGATAAATTACAATATCACAATGACACTACTGAAATACAGAAGATATTAGAAATTATTCGAAAATTATACTCCCAACAAAATGGAAAATCTCAAAGACATAAATTTCTAGAGTCATATGATCTAACCAAACTGAATCAAGACAACGTATACAATTTAAACAGATCAATTTCAAGAAAGGAAATAGAAGACACCATCAAAAGCCTACCAACCAAGAAAAGCCCAGGACCAGATGGATTCTCAGCTGAGTTCTACAAGACCTTCAAAGAAGAACTAATACCAGTACTTCTTAAATTATTCCATGAAATAGAAAAGGAGAGAGCCCTTCCAAACTCTTTTTATGAAGCTATTATCACCCTGATACCAAAACCAGACAAAGACACATCAAGGAAAGAAAATTTCAGCCCAATATCGCTGATGAACATAGATACAAAAATTCTCAATAAAATTCTGGCAAATTGCAACCAAAAACATATTAAAAAAAGATAGTCACCACGATCAAGTGGGGTTCATCCCAGGGATGCAAGGTTGGTAGGTTCAACATATGGATATCAATAAACATAATTCATCATATCAACAAAATTAAAAATAAGAACCACATGAACATCTCAATAGATGCAGAAAAGGCATTTGACAAAATACAGTTCAAAACACTAAAAAAAAAAAATAGGGATAATAGGAACATATCTCAACACTGTAAAAGCTAGCTATGCTAAGCCCAAGGCCAACATCATTCTAAATGGAGAAAAATTGAAAGCATTTGCTCTAAAAACTGGAACAAGACAGGGATGCCTGCTTTCTTTCACCACTTCTATTCAACATAGTACTTGAAACTCTAGCCAGAGCAATTAAGCAAATGAAAAGGAATTAAAGGAATATGATTAGGAAAAAAAGGAACTCAAACTATCACTATTTTCTAACCACATGATTCTATATTTAGAGGATCCAAAAAATTCCACCAGAAAACTTCTAGAACTAATAAATTAAGTCAGCAAAGTAGCAATGTATAAAAACAACACCCATAAATCAAAGGCATTTCTGTACTTCAGTGAAAGAAAATTAGAAAAACTACCCCATTCACAACAGCCACAAACAAACACCACCAAAAACAAAACAAAACAAAACAAAAACAAACAAACAAAAAAAACTTAGGAATCAACCTAACAAAAGAGGTAAAAGACCTCTACAATGAAAACTACAGAACACTAAAGAAATTAAAGAAGACCTCAAAAGATAGAAAGTACTCCCTTGTTCTTAGATAGGCAGAATTAATATTATTAAAATGGCCATAATACCAAAAGCGTTATACAGGGGCAAGGGATATAGCTCAGTTGGTAGAGTTCTTGCCTTACATGTACAAGTCCCTGGGTTCAATCCCCAGCACTACTAAAAAAAAAAAAAAAGCAAAAGCGTTATACTTTATACAGATTTAATGCAATTCCAATTAAAATCCCAATGTCATTCCTCACAGAAATAGAAAAAGCAATCATGGAATTCATTTGGAAAAAATAAGAGACCAGAATAGCCAAAGAAATTCTTAACAAGAAGAATGAAGCAGGAGGCATCACAATACCCAACCTTAAATTATACTACAGAGCTATAGTAACAAAAAGAGCATGGTATTGGCACCAAAACAGATATGTAGACTAATGGTACAGAATAGAGGACACACAGACAAACCCACATAAATACGGTTATCTCATACTAGACAAAGGGGAAAAAACATACATTGGAGGAAAGATAGCCTCTTCAACAAATAGTGTAGGGAAAACTGGAAATCCATATGCAGCAAAATGAAATTAAATCCCTATCTCTCACTCTGCACAAAATTCAACTCAAGGTGATCCAAGGACCTAGGAATTAAACCAGAGACCCTGCACCTAACTGAAGAAAAAGTAGGCCCAAGTCTTCATTATGTCAGCTTTGGACCTGACTTCCTTAACAAGACTCCTAAAAAAATCACAAGAAATAAAATCAAGAATCTATAAATGAGATAGATTCAAATTAAAAAGCTTCTTTTCAGCAAAGAAAATAATCAATAATGTGAAGAGAGAGCCTATAGAATGAGAGAAAATCTTTATCTCACACACATCCAGTTAGAGCACTAATCTTCAGGATATATAAAGAACTCAAAAAACTTAACATCAAAAAAACAAATAACCCAATCAATAAATGGGCTAAGGAACTAAGCAGACACTTTACAGAAGAAGAAATATGATCAATCATCAAGTATGTGAAAAAATGTTCAACATCTCTAGCAATCAGAGAAATGCAAATCAAAAGTACTCTAAGATCTTATTTTACTCTAGTCAAAAAGAAAATACAAGCAACCATAAACTGGTGGGAGGCAAATTGGTGCAATGACTCTGGAAAGCAGCATGGAAATTCCTTAGAAAACGTGGAATGGAACCACAGTTTGACCCAGCTATCCCATTCCTTGGGATATACTCAAAGGACTTAAAAATCAGCATACTCCAGGGACGCAGCCACATCAATGTTTATAGCTCAATTCACAATACCTAAACCAACCTAGATGCCCTTCAGTAAACGAATGGATAAAGAAACTGTGGTGTGTGTGTGTGTGGGTGTGTATGTGTGTACTGTATGCTTGTCATCTGCATTTCAGTCATAGAGGGAATACAAGGCATTTGAAGATTTAGAATTGACCTTTGTTTTATCACTCAGGACAGTTGGGGTCTGTGACACTGTTAGTTTGGGCTGCTTTAAATTATGATTCCTGGGCTGGGGTATAATTTAGTGGTACAGAGCCTGTCGAGTGTACTTGAGGCCCTTGATATGATCCCTAACAAAACACACACATACACACACACACACACACACCCGTGTATATACACCATACATATATATATATATATATACACACATACACACACACATACACTGGAATTTTATATAGCCTTAAAAGAAGAATGAAATTATGGCATTTGTGGGTAAATGGATGGATTTGGAGAATATGCTAAGCGATGTAAGCCAATCCCTAAAAACCAAAGGCCAAGTGTTTTCTCTGATAAGTGAATACTGATTTATAAAGGGCGAGGGAGAAGAACAGAGAAACTCTGGATTGGGCAGAGGGGAGGGAGAGGGAGTGGGGGTGGAAAAGATGGTGGAATGAGACGGACATTATTTCACTATGTACATGTGTGACTGCATGAATGGTGTGACTCTGCATCGTGCACAACCAGAGGAATGAAAAGTTGTGCTCCACTTGTGTTTAAAAAAAAAAAAAGATAAATTACCTGTTATCAATAATCATAACACGGGAGGTTGGAATCCCCAAAACATCACAGCTCTGCAAAAGTTCTTTCTTACGAATCTCCCCTTGATTGTAGTAATTTCCTGAGAATAACAAATATAGTAGTAGATTTCTTTAACAGTGGAGACCTGTTTATTCTTCTTCTTCTTTTCCCTGTTTATTCTCATCCCATTTGTTCCCTATAGGATTTAAGCTACCTGAAAAATGTGTGATTATAATAAGGAGTTGAAAAAAATGTAATACTTAAGCTTGTTATAAACTATTCCTATGAGAAGACTACTAGCAGTATACTCTTTTATTTATTTATTTTTTTTAGTTGTAGATGGACACAATACCTTTATTTTAAAGTGGTGCTGAGGACGGAACTCAGTGCCTCATACTTGTGAGGCAAGTGCTCTGCCACTGAGCAACAATCCCAGCCCCCCAGCAGTATACTCTTTAGAATCATCATTTACATGCTTGTCAGTCTGTCTCTCTAACTGTATGCTTGTCATCTGCATTTCAGTCATAAAGGGAATACAAGGCATTTGAAGATTTAGAATTGACCTTTATTTAATCACTCAGGACAGTTGGGGTCTGTGACACTGTTAGTTTGGGCTGCTTTAAATTATGACTCCTGGGCTGGGGTATAATTTAGTGGTGGAGAGCCTGTCGAGTGTACTTGAGGCCCTTGGTATGATCCCTAACAAAACACACAGACAACAGACACACAGACACACACACACACACACACACAAACACACACACACCAATCATCAACTATCTAACATTTATGAAAAAAGAGGGTGCTACTCCTGGGTATTATAGGAAAATGTACAGGCACCATTTGGGAAAACATCCTCTCTTGAAGTTTGGTATTCAAAACCAAACTTTATGTATATCCAAAGTTTTTGTACTCTTTATTTTCCCAACATATATACTACAGTCCCTAAGAATAATCTTCCCTCTGTATATAGGACTCCTCTGCAGTCTTATAAATAATATAATGAAATTGGTACCATTTAAATTGCACATTCACTGTAAGCAACTACCTAGTTAATATACCCCTTTAATTCAAGTTTCCAACAAATAATGACCTGTGATTTATTCATGTTACTTAACTTTTTGGGATCAGTTTCTTTACCTCTAAAATAGCTAAGCTCATAAGGTTTTCTGGAGGGTAATTTGAGATAACATATCAGTGTACCCAGTTGGGTACTGAATTAGTTTTTTCTTTCCACGAATCTTTACTTTTACTTCCTGCTTCCTCTTTGTTTCTTTCTGAATTACAATTCATCTTTATCATCCAGATCATATGTCAAATGCCTTCTTCTATTTTCCCTGGAAAGTAATCATGTCCAGTATTTTACTTCTAACTATGAATTTTCTCCATTATCAAATTATTGATTAACCTGTAAATGTCATTGACCTTAAAAGTCATGTGATGAAACTTGTATCATCCCTAATATTCAGCATACTGAAGGTATTCTTGAAGAATTTTAAGAGAAGCTCTGCTTACTACAGGTAACTCAAAGAAAAACTACCATGTGAAACCCTTCAACTTGAGTTGGGGTTACCCTAGATCTGAACTGTCTCAATAGGAGACAGTCATTACATTGTATCTGACAAAGAGGCTAACACCCTAAAAAAAACTGTAGAGAACAGTTTTAATTCTGGACTGTCTTCCACATACTTTTCCCCTCAGTTTTCTTTCTTTCTTTTTTCTAGCAGTACTGGGAATTCAACCCAGGGGCACTTTACCACTGAGCTACATCCCTATTTTGAGACAGGGTTACACTAAATTGCTTAGAGCCTTGCTAAATTGCTATGGCTGACCTAGAACTTACAATCCTCCTGCCTCAGCCTCACAAATTTCTGGGATTACACTATGTGCCACTATGTGTCTGGCTGGAAAGTTTTAATTTTTTAGAATGAGAAAGGGACTGAGAATCAAGGTATTATGGTCTTACAACATTTGGCTGCCCACTAGCTACATGAATTCGGAGAAATTCTTTTTTTTTTTTTTTTTTTAGGTTCTGGGGATTGAACCCAGGATCTTGTTTTTGAGACAGACTTTTGCACAATTACTGAGTTTGGCCTTGAACTTGTTGTGATCCTCCTTCTTAGTTTCAGGAATTCCAGTACAGTTTTCCCTTGAATACCAAGTAATAAAAAAAGTATTTGGAAGAAAAAAGGTCCAAGTTTTTTCCCATTATAAAATGAAGGAGCTGGGAATGTTGGCAACACCTGTAATCCCTGTCACTCAGGAGATTAAGGTAGGACGATTGTGAGTTCAAAGCCAGCCTCAGCAATTTAGTGAAGCCCTAAGTAACTCCGTGAGACCTCGTCTCTTAAGTAAAATATAAAAAATGGCTGGAGATGTGGCTCAGTGGTTAAGCATCCCTGGGTTCAATCCCTGATACCAAAATAAATGAATAAATAAAATAAAATGAGGGAGCTTATGCTTTGTCAAGGTCTACCCAGGATAACAAAAACCATATCATACAGTAATAGAGAATTTAATGCAAAGATTTTGATATATCACCAATGAAAGAATGAAGGGCTAAACAGGCACCAGTGAAGTGGTCAAGAGATTAGGGATAGCAAAAAGTGACTACCAAGATAAAGGAAGGAGGCAGTATTACTGAAACAGAGAGGCCTGGGCTCCCAAAGGAAGTTGAAACCAAGAGGACTTGACTCCCTTCCATTAGAATGTGTCTACATACCCTAGCTTAAGAAATCATGATTCAAAAATGAAATAAAAATTTTTAAATGGCCAAAGGATTTAACTAAACATTCTCCAAAGAAGATAACCAACAAGCATGTGAAAAGATGCTCATCATTGTCATTAGGAACATGCATATCAAACCTACAATAACATATCACTTCATGCCCATTAGGATGACTACAGTTCTGAAAACAGAAAATTACAAGCATTGAAAAGGATATAAAGAAAGTGGAACTGGGGTTGGCGATTCAGCTCAGTAACAGAACGCTTGCCTAGCAAGTACAAGGCCCTGAGTGTACCTCAGTCCTGAAAAGAAACAAAAGAAAGTGGAACCATAGTGCACCAGTGGTGGGAATGTGATATGGCACAGCTGCTATGGAAAACAGTTTGGAGATTCTTCAGAAATATAAACAGAATTACCACATGACTGAACAATTGTACTCACAAGTATATACTCAAAAGAACTAGAAACTGGTACTGAAACATACTTGTAACACTGTTCAAAGAAGCATATTCACAGTAGTCAAAAAGTTGAAAATCGGGCTGGGGATGTGGCTCAAGCGGTAGCTCGCTCGCCTGGCATGCGAGCGGCCCGGGTTCGATCCTCAGCACCACATACCAACAAAGATGTTGTGTCCGCCGAGAACTAAAAAATAAATATTAAAAATTCTCTCTCTCTCTCTCTAAAAAAAAAAAAAAAAAAAAAAAGTTGAAAATCTAAGTGTCTACCAACAGACAAATGAAAAAACAAATTTGGTATATATAGATAAAATATTCAGCCATAAGACAAAATAAAATTTTGATACTTGCTACAACACTGATGAATTTTAAAAAATTATTCTAATCAACATTAAGATAGATATAAATTGATGATTACTATATGATTTCACTTGTGTGAGGTACCTGTAACAGTTAAATTCATAAGAGACAGAAAGTAGAAAATGGTAGTTGCCAGAGGCTGAAGAGAGAACAGTTATTGCTTAATGGGTTACAGTGTTTGTTTTAGATGATGAAACAGAGGTGATGGTTACACAATCTTGTGAATGTACTTACTACCACTGAACTGAACACTTAAAAATGTTTAAAATTGTAAATTTTGTTATGTATATTTTACCACAACTTAATAAAACATTAATAAAAATATTTTAATTTAGTTATCATTATAAAACTTAAATTATATCTTTACAATTGATGAACAAATATAGTTAAAGGACTGTTTAAATAAAAAAATATATATACATCTATCCAGCTAAAATCAAGAAACATTGGGTCTGGGGTTGTAGCTCAGTGGTAGAGCACTTGCCTCACATGTATGAGGTCCTGGGTTCGATTCTCAATACCACATAAAAATAAACAAATAAAAATAAAGATATTGTGTCCATCAACAACTAAAAAAAGAAAGAAAGAAAAACATTATCATATGCCATTATCAACCAATCTAGCTGTACTTGGGAGAAGTCTTACTATTTCTAAAGAAACTGCATTCATCTTAACTTTAATTTTGGAAATGTTAATTTTTGTTAACTTTTCTGTTTGCAGTTGGTCATTAACAAGTCCAAACATATGGGAAACTATCTTTTTCTGAATATGGCAGGCATTTATTTATTAGATGGAATGAGAAGTATACAGAATCAGAACAGAGTCCAGCACATCTCAGTTATGTTACAGCAAGTATTTTCAATACCAAAAATGAATTAAATTTGTTGACGATTCCCATCCTATGCTTTTTTTTTTTTTTTTTTTTTTTTTTTTAATATTGAGGATTGAACCCAGGGACGCTCTTCCACTGAGTTACACCCTGAGACAGGGTCTGGCTAAGTTGTAAGGGTTGAAACTTCAAATTGCAATCTACCTGCCTCAGTTTCCCAAGTTGCTGGAATTACAGGTCTGTGCCACAGTGCCTGGCCCATTTTAATCATTTTAAGTATACTGGTCTGTGCTATTGCACCTGGCCCCACTCTATACTTCTTTCAGATTAGTACTACTGTACTTTCTTTTTAAACACTTGCTTCTTTTCTTTTTACTATTCAGAGGCTCTGTTTTACTGTTTTTTTTTTGTTTTTTTTTTTTTGTCTCGGTGGCATTTCTTTCTCTTTGGTCTCTGAAATGATCTCTTCCCTAATGTTTCATTAGCATTTCTTTTAGGGCTTTTCATTGTTTAATCAAATTGCCTATTTTTTATAGCAAAAAACCTAACTCATTACATAAATAATGAAAAGCTCTGAAAAGGGTGACATGCTTCAATTAAAAAAAGCAATCAGCAAGACATCAACAATTATTATTATTTTTTGAGACAGAGTTTTGCTGTGTTACCCAGACTTGAATTCTTAGGTTCAAATGATCCTCCTGCCTCAGCCTCCTGAGAAGCTGGGACAA